ACACGCGTTAAGGAAAAATATAAAAAGTAATATTTCGCAACTTTGACGATGTAGTTTGCTTCTTTAAACATTCTGCAGCAATTTTTGTTGAATAAGTTATGCATTTTTTTGCCTATTAAGCCCACAAAATCAATTTTTATTTGACCCCTTAAAGCGTGTTCGGGCATACGTTTTTTCAGTTTAGTTCACAGTTTCGCCGCTAGATGGCGCCACAAATTTTCTCCATGAAATGACATTTTTTTTATTTTCTTTATTAAAGCTTTCAGGAAACTTTTATTGCTTTATTCTCCTCCTAATGCGATCACATAACACTTTCCGAGCCTCAGAAGTACTCAAAGTTCGCTAATTTTCAAGAAAATCGCATTTTTATATTTTTGTAGTTCCAACTTTCACCGCTAGATGGACGCCAATTTTTTAGTCCATGTTTTGGTCTATTTTCCACAAATTTTCTCCATGAAATGACATTTTTTTTATTTTCTTTATTAAAGCTTTCAGGAAACTTTTATTGCTTTATTCTCCTCCTAATGCGATCACATAACACTTTCCGAGCCTCAGAAGTACTCAAAGTTCGATAATTTTCGAGAAAATCGCGTTTTTATGGTTTTGTAGTTCCAACTTTCGCCGCTAGATGGACGCCAATTTTTTAGTCCATGAAACGGGCTATTTTTCTATTTTCCTTAATAATTGTCCTAGCAGGCTATAATTACATTCGTTCGATTCCGTAGGCGACAAGGAACAATTTGTATATCTCAGAATTTCGGAAAAGTTCCTAGTTTTTGAGAAAATCGAGATTTTAGGTTTTCGTAGTTCCAACTTTCGCCGCCAGATGGCGCCACCTGTACCGTTTTCGACCGAATTCGACAAAAATTCATTTTCTGCCTTTATTTGGCATCAAAACGCATCAAACCCTAATAGAAATTTGTTTCTAAATGCCTCAGGGACCATACTGCGTCGTCAAAGTGCCGAAATATTGCACTTTGCATGCGCAGTAGAATTGACATAGGCGGCTCATGTACGTATCGCACGGTTGCAACAAAATAATTAATTACTCATTACCCGGACATTATTTATGAACTTTCATGATCGAACCATGTAAATAATGCATTGCTGGCCATTCTTCGATCATAAAAGTGCAGAAAATATATCCACAAAACGTGTAAATAATTATTCAAAATGACCTCGTGTATACCGTTTGTCACCGTGGCTGACCTTAAGTTATTAGTTAATAACTAATTAATTTCATGAAAAATCTGAACAAATATGATACAAGAAAGTAGCTGAGGGATCACGGAACATTCTTTTATTATGAAAGTGCATAGACTGTGCTCAGAGAGTGAGTAATTAACGATATTGCATAGTGATTATCGTGTATATTCCTCCTGCGCGCCGGCCGCGCATGCCACGGAGGAATAATCACCGAAAAACCATATTCCCGTAGACTTTAATGCAAAATTGAATTTGCTCGCGCTTATGTAGTTGACTTTTCAACTTTTTTGTCCACACCTCAATCAAACAGACCTAGAGTACGTAGTACTGTACAGCACGAAGCATTTACTTAGCGTCAGGTATTGTCCATCAAAAAATAACACTTTAATTTTCATCGAAATAATTTGCGCAGTTATTTTTTTTTCTAACAAAGGTTAGTATATAAAGTAGGAAGATTTAAATGATCTCGATAAATGAAAGAAAAAATTAAAGGTACAGAGAAGATAAGTCGGAATTTTGATCTTCTCCGTTAGCAGAGCGTGGTTTCGATCCACGGACCTCTGGGTTATGGGCCCAGCACGCTTCCACTGCGCCACTCTGCTTGCTTGAAACTGTTCTCTTAATTCTTCAAGTAACTGATTCTGGGTAACGGAAATGGAACATGTAGCGCCATCTCTTTGGCGATCAAGGTGAACTACATACTTTTGAGACTGTAGTCCCGTTAGTTCCCAAGCATTGCCACTAGACGGCGCCACGTGTATTGTTTTCCGAAAGATGACGCCACTTGTTCCATTTTTGTAAAAATACAATTTATAAAAAAATACAATACAAATGCTAAACGATTTTATGGATTAATATGCCATATATTTACTATATATTTATTAGTATTGATTTTATACTGTTTTCAATACATTCCGTGGGTGAAAAGATGCGGTTTATGTGTTCGGATCAGTTCGTATTGTATACCGTATTTCCCTGATGCCGTAGGGAATTTACTTTCGATTTGCCATAAACCATTCTCAGAGATATCATTTTTTTCCAAAAAAAGCTTATTTGTAATATTTGGTCGATATCGGAGCACATCGGTATTCCGAAGTTTCGCCAAAATTAATTATAAATTGACCTTACCTACAGATTAGCTAGAAATATTCGAGTCGCGTTTCTCAACTATCTTCTTTACCGATTTTCTAATTGTCATTATACGTAGAAACACGTGTTGTTGTTTATAACGCGGTGGTAAAGGTAGATCAAGTTTCTGGTTAATTACGCACAAGTGTTTGATCTTAACGATATACTATTTCTGGTTTTTACCGTAAGGAATAGTACATATTACAAGGTCGAGGATCGAAGCGGTAATGGATATTTGAAAAGTTGAAGGTTATGTAAATGCAAACTCTCTGATCGTAATTATTGTTAATAGCGATTCGTTATTAACGTTTGAAGCGACTATTATGGAAACGGAAACTTCTGGCGAATCTTCTCATTCGAATATCGAAGCTCCACCACGCGAACGAGTAAGTGCCTGCCTGTATCGGTGGTTGGTCTAAACGACAAATTATTTTTCACAGATTTTTTATCGCAGAAAAATACACGGGGATCCCGTCAAAGAGCGGTAGATTCTACAGTGACGACAAAATTTCTTCGAAATTTCGATCCCGAGCATAGCGAAAGAGAAAAACGTAAACTGCACCGACGAATATATCAAGGATATAAAAAGCACTCTGTGTACAATGATAAGGGTATTTATATAAAAACAGGAGATGACCTTTGCGATTGCTTAAATTTAAATTGTGCCGGATGTCATTTTCCTTGCCCGAAGTGCTCTTCTACGAAATGTGGCCACGAATGCAGGTTTAGTAACAAAAATTTGTCATTAATGGAAAGAGTCGCAGCAATAGGGAGGTAGTGCCGCTTATTGACCGTGTCTTTGTTAATAAATTTCTTGTAATACGCTAAATACTAAAACTTTTTGGCACAAACAGAGAAGAAATAATAGAGGAAAGACACGGCTGTCTCTTTATTGCGGCGACACTTTCAGTTTCAATAGTTTTACTATATTAACCGAGCATCCTTAATTAGGAATAATCGCAGATGGACATACGAGTCGATAGAAAACGAAGGCAGCGACATAATTATTAGGAATCCGATGGTAAAAGAATACTAGACGTTAAACATTCTGCTTGGTCGTATAGCAAATTTATTCTTCTCGTGACGACCTTGCGACCATGGTATACGAGTACTTTACAATCATTCGACCGAATATTCTATCGCATTATTAATATAGTATAAGTTATATGGTATCGATGTCACTTTGGTTATATTACATTAAAGACAAGGTAGCGTACTAGAGCGATGTAAATAGATTTTGATATCGACAACGTAGCGCGTTGAAAAAAGAATAAAATTGTACGTATACTTCCTTCTTCCATCAGTTATTCGTACGCTTTAATAATCCTGTGTAACATAATTGTAACGAGATCCTTTTTCGATCGGCGGAAGCAGCGGACTTTTTCGGAGACGCAGCAGGATACACGATGCGTTACTCGAACAAGAACGAACGCGTCCAGAAGAGAAACACGTTGCTATCGAGTTAAGAAAGAGCTCGAAGAAGAAGAAGAAGAAGAAGAAGATTATATATACTTGGCGCGCGTGATGCACGTGCGTGTGCGGTAGTGTGCAGTTACGTGTACCGACACACGAACACGCTATTGATTTTCTTCGGCACTTTTGGCGTAGTGCGCACGTACCTAACGCACATACACACGTTGCTCCGGTGGAGTGGGGCTCGCCCCGATACGGAGGGCGTGCGCTTCGTTTCCCTTCGAAATCGTCAAAGTTCATGCAACCGAAAGCCTGGAGAGTAGGCGAATATGCTGATCCCGTGGCGGATGGAAATCGAATGCAATACCCGTTGATCGATCCACTAATTAACAGTCGTCGTAAACGTGATTCAACGTCGAAGTTACATCGCGAATCACTCGGACACCGTCGAACATCTTTGCTCGAGAAACATCTTTGGCGAAAGAAAGCAGTTGTTATCCAGTTGCGTCGAACCGCCGGGTCGAGAAACCGCTCGTTACCTGGCACGTTGTCTGCACGGCTAAGGGTGTAATTCACGGCTTCGTTGAATCTTCACGTCCTATCGAACTGAACGTCGAACCTGGTGTTTACCCCAGGACAATCCTGACGCATAAGAAGGTACGGCAGCGACTCGGGTAAAATTCGTCGAGCATACTCGTTTACAGATCGAAGCGGTTACTCGGACGAGGAGAAACCACGTGAAAGTGTCGTCCGTCCGATCGTGTCTATAAAGAGGGTTTATCGCTCGCGGATTCACCGCGACACCATCGCCGGGTCAATGGGATCGTGATCTTATCGCTTAATGGGACTGGTGACGCGACGAGCGACGACGTTCAACCGTGGTCGTGGTTCGGAATTCGTTCGATTAGACGATTAGACTCGTCGCCGGATCATACCGATCGGTAGACAGCTCGTCAACAATTTTGCCAAGTGTACGGTTAGCAGCAACTCGTCGCGAGCGAACGTAGGAATCGATTATAATTTCGCAAGTCGGTTTAAACGTTAATATTCGAAGCGGTGCTCGCGGTGGATGTTATTCGACGATGACAAGGGATTACGGTTCGAAATATCACTTGTTGAATTGGTGCACGTATAGGCGGATAATTATAGCTCATAACAAGAGGATTCGCGAAACGCGTTTTCTTAATCGACTATAGTAGAAAAAAGAGCACGTGGTCCGTCTCGTTGGCATTCCATCGGTGTCCCGGAGGTTTCCGCTACGAATCCAATAGAGAATCGACTTCGATTATAGCTCAGTGATTTTAGTGATTTTTTCAAAGCAGCTAACTGGAAAATCTTGTTGCCCGTAGGTGTCGGAGAGTGTAAATACGAGGCCATAGAACCGTAAATAATGACTCGGTTATAGAGCGAAGGGTGGTTGTTGTTGCAGCAACCTTTTCATAAGACTCGTGGCCGTACGAATCAATGTTGTTTTGTATGTTGTGTGGCAGAAAGATTTAAACGATCTCGCAAAAGGGACCCCGTGTGGCGGGGGTTAACGTCGCCGGGACGGCAGATGTCAGGATGCCGGAGCAGAGTAACGACTACCGCGTGGTGGTGTTTGGGGCGGGCGGCGTTGGCAAGAGTTCTCTCGTTCTGCGTTTCGTGAAAGGAACCTTTCGCGAGTCCTATATACCGACTATCGAGGACACCTATAGACAGGTAAGCCTAGACTAACGCTAGGAAGAACCTTCTTACACGCTACTGTCTATCCTGTTGACCCTCGCTTCGCGTCACGCGGATCCCGCGCTACTCGCTAAACCTTTACTAGACTTTCATCGAAGAAAAGTTCATTCGCCTAGAGCTTATTTTCATTTTCCTTCCCTTATTTAGCCGCGTTCGAATCTCCGCGTCGTTAATACGCGTATATCGAAGCAGTCGATAATTAACGACGCGAGTAGTAGCAATAGATGTTCGAAATCAGATAAAAGTGCAGCTCGTAGACGTTGTATCGTGACGTAAAACGGTGACGTTTCGCCGATACGATGATTCATACATGATGCAAGATCATTGCTCTAATCGTTCATCTTTCACGCGCTATCTCGTTCCGTAATCGCGAAACCGAGCCGCGAGTAAACAGTTTATCTTCTCTTTTTTCTACTCTTCTATTCGCGTTTGAAATTCGTTCTCGACGTTGCCGCGCGATTCGCCTAGAGACCGAGATAACACGGTTACCTCAGAGATTCCGTTGTCAAGTTGTTTGAACACGTTTTACTTTCGAACGAGCGATTACCGTTTGATCGTTTAATAAATTACGATATTTTTCTAGCAAATATTCGACGGCATCGACATAGGCACAGATATGGACATAGAGACATAGACGAGGAGAAAGAAATTTTTCGTTGGAAACGATGGAAATATTCGACGTAACGTAAATGGCAATTAACGTTTCAGGGATGGAAAAAAGAGCGTAATCGCGCAGTTTCCAACTTGGACAGAGAGCATTATTTATGTCGAGAGTCGTTAACGGTTATAGCCGGCGAACGAGAGGGTGCGCGGGATTCCCCGTGATTAACAACTTTGATCGTAAATCGAATTCAGTTAAATAACGAGCTACAGGGAAATCAGCGAGACGCACGAATATCGCACGACCGATCGAATCGAGAGCCGAAGAATTTAGTAAACGATTTTTCGGTATTAGTTTAAAGATGTAAAAGCTTCGTCGGCGAAACTGTCGAGATCCGTGCTGTGTACGCGAGAAGAAGCGTGCTCCGATCAGCGATCGAATCGTGCTCGATAATAAATCGAACGATACGCTGCGATATTTCAGGTGATAAGCTGCAACAAAAACATATGCACGCTTCAAATTACGGACACAACGGGGTCTCATCAGTTTCCCGCGATGCAGCGGCTTTCTATTAGCAAAGGTCACGCCTTCATCCTCGTATATTCGGTGTGCTCGCGGCAAAGCCTCGAGGAACTACGACCCATCTGGGCCATTATTAGAGAGCTTAAGGGACAAGACATATCGCAGATACCTATAATGCTGGTAAGACCTACTTTTTTCCTACTCTCGTTCAAATCCTACCATACGCTAACCATAGAAGAAAATATTCGCTAGAATCTGTTAGTCGCGTCGCGTAATAACCGGCTTTCGATTAGTCCATTTCTAATAGACTCGCTTCCCGTATATTACGATACGGTCCTATCTAGTTGCATCGGCTTAAGCATCGAGCGAAGGTTTAGATCGTCGGGAAAACGACGCGAACCGTTTTAAAAGCACTCGCGGCGCATTCGAAAGAGAGCGAAGCGTCTGCCGGGGTGAACGCGTACGGTCGAAAGGTGTAATATCGTGGTGGAGAAAAAAGAATTTTCCGGTTTCAACGTTAAACAATATCCTCTACTCGTTCGTTTTCTGCTTATTTTCTTTATTTCGATTAAACTCGTTTCGAATATAATACGGTCGCGACGCTATCGGAAATACGCCGACGAGTAGCATCGATCGAGCAGAAAGGGAGATTCGATTAAAGATACTTTTCGATGTTCCCGTAGGTGGGGAACAAATGCGACGAGAGTCCGTCGGTACGCGAAGTATCGATGAGCGAGGGCGCAGCGGAGGCTGCCAATTGGGGCTGCGGATTTTTGGAAACATCCGCGAAGACGAATCACAACGTGAACGCGTTGTTTCGGGACTTATTGATGCTCGAGAAGAACAGGTCCGTGTCGTTGCAACCCGTGCAGAGCAACAACGCGATTAGCCTGAAGGAAAAATGCTCGGTCATGTAACCGAGCGGAGAGGAAGGAGCCCGGAAGGTCCACGTAGCAGCGAATCCTGTTCCAAAGCGAGAAGAAGAAGCGGCAGGCTAGAAGACGACGTCCACGGTAGTCTCGACACCGGCACACGGAATATTTCGAGCCGCGCGAGCGAAACGAAAAACACCTAGTTATACATATGTATGTAGTTCGGTCGAAGGCGTACGTTAATGCTCCTCGTTCTTAACGAGCCTCGTCGTCCCTCGTTGCGGAGCATTAAATTCGCCTTTTAACGTCTCTTTTTAACCGAACGACGTATTCGATATTATCGATAGATTTTTTAATTTTGATACAGAGCGACGTCGCGTTAGCTTTCACCAGGCCAACGACGCGCGCGCGCGTTCTTCGTTCTGTACCGGTGTTGTTAGCCCGTTAGTCTTTCGACCACCGTTCGTTACAGCCATCTCGAGCTTATTAAACGAAAGGGACCACCAGCATTTCTTCGACCCTTTCGTGACCAACGAATACGCGCGAACATCTTTCTTGTAAGAGCAGCCAGTACAAAGACGAGAATCGTCGCCGTCTACGTCGTCGTCCACGTCGTCGTCTACGTCGTCGTCATCGGCGTAGCTAGAGTCTTTGCCCGGGACGAGAGTCGCTGCCGATCGCAGGCAAGCATGACCAAAAATCGACGTCGTGTCGAATTATGTCCCTCGTCGCGCTAGCTAGTTGCGTCGATGACCGCGCGTCGTGCTACGTTGTCTCGAGACTACTGCGCGACGACACTTGCGGGACCGGCATCGCAACGGAAAGGAAAAGGAAAAAGGAAAAGGAGAAAAACTAGACAAAAGTTGTTACGATATTGGTTTTTGTTGAATAGTTGTAAGGATTTTGTAACGACGCTAATTAGGATTTATTACTCGACACGTCGGAGGATACTGAAAAATACACGCGTACACATCCCAGTACACGTACACGCACATACAGGCTTGCGCGCACATAGGTTCATTAGGCACTCGCGTTTCCCCGTGTTGACCCAGATTTTACTGTTTCCTTCCTGTATGTCGTACACGCGTAGATCGCGTACGTGTTAGTGTTTACGAGGAGACGCTAATTAAAGGGACTTGCACCGAACGGCTCGTTTTTTCTCGATCATATTCGTTACGCGTTTACCGTCGCGACTCGAACAGTGGCGAATAAAGGTGTTAAGTTGGCGAGTAAAGGCGAGTAGAGGTCGAGGCACGAGTGGATAAGGAAATTCGCTCGTAGACGCGCTCGAGGGTTATCAACGAATTACGGTTCCAGCCATTCTCTCCACTCGCGTCTCCGTTCGATATTAGGATCCGTCGGCCGTTACTTCGAATCATCGCCGATCCGATTAGGATATTTTTAGGCTGGACCAGCTTCTCCAGCCTCGTTATCGACAGAGCTCAGTGCGACCAAGCGGTTTTATTTTTTGGAAATTTTAGAATTTCGCCCTTTTCGACGTTTAAACGTTCCGGAATTTTCGAATCTCGGAAACTGAGCTGGACATTCGGAAAGTTTTCAATGTCTCCCTCCAGGCGGACAAAGACTGGTCCTTAGCTAGGAAGAATCCGAGCGCGTTATTTAACGGATCGTAGGTAAGCGAACGAATACATATCGTACGTAGTCGTTGATCGTCGACGAACGGACAATTGTCACGCGCTTGTCTACCAGGAGACGGTTCAAAGTTAATAGAGTTTTAACGAACGTCCTATCGCGTCTCTCTTCGACGAAAAAGCTTTAATAATCGTTCGTAACCCGGTGCATGCACGAAACACGTGCATCCGCGTACCCGTGTATAGATACGTATTCGCACGGTTATGATTTAGCGACAAGGTAATAAGGAGTCTAGTCAAAGGGAAAACTGAGCCGAGAGAGCAGCGAAACGTAGTGTACTACTACCCGTTACAACCGTGGACGAATCGTGATTCTCTGATTTTTTCGGGGCCAATCGGTGTGTGATTTACATAAATCGTGAGCTTCTTCCGCGCGACGACAGCCGGAATTCTGTTCCTTTCGCGTGTTCGCACAATCTTAATCTTCCCGAGCGCTACTTCGAATTCGATCCCTTTACGATCATGACGCGTAATCTATAATCGAGTTTTTGAGAACCTTTATCCAAGCTCTACGAGGCGAACAAATTGAATTTTCTATCCGCGCCGAAAACCGGTGCTCCTTTTTACGAACGTTGCTACTCGCTTTTTAATAACGATCGCTATTTAGAGATTTTGCAAAATAACCTAACCGTTCGTTTTATACTCGACACTGGACGGTCATGGTCTTCCAGGGTTCGATTTCGACGTTCGCTCTCGAGCCTCTACGTTCCGCGTGTTCTCGCGTAAATCGTTCTGATTTTTCAAACTATCGTTACTCGTCGATCGCGAACAGAAACAAAGAGTATTCTACATCGAGTACATACGTTTTTTATCGCGTTCGAATTGTCACGGCACGCACGACCACGATATTACGCTTTATTTTTTTATTACGTGTCCGATGTACAGCGATCGAGCACGATTAGGCCAATTCGAAACTTTTCACCGCTACTTTCTTCCGGTATCTCCTCTTTTCTTGGACGAAACTATCTCGTGCTCGGTAACTCTTCCCCCTTGTCGCCGTTTTTCCTTCGATCGGGGGAAGATTCTCGACTGTACGTCGTTACTCGATTGCCGAATCCTGGCTGGCGTTGCTCGAGGACGAAAACTCGAATCGAAAGACGAATAAAAAGATACGCTCGGGAACGACTAATATTAATAGGGAAATTAATAGACGAAATGTATTCGCTAGAGAAACCGGTAGACAGACTTAGCGCGCTTGATCGACCCTTAATCTACATTCGAGAATTATTCAATCTTTTTTCTAAATACTATACGACGAAGTACACTAGATTCTCGATATCGAACAAATTCGAGGAGAATCGTCGTTAACGTTAATCGTATTTATTAAAGAATATATGAAATACAAGTATAGAAAATAAGTAGGTAAAAAGGAATCGTAGTCAAGAGTGAGAGCGGTAGTTAGCGTACGCGACTCGGTTGCTACCAAAATCGAACTTTTTTCTAATCGACTTTTCTCTTCGTACACCTTCCAAGTAGCGTCGTTTAATATTCATAATAATATCAATAATAATAATAATAATAATAATAATAATAATAATAATAATAATAATAATAATAATAATAATAATAATAATAATAATAATAATAATAATAATAATAATAATAATAATAATAATAATAATAATAATAATAATAATAATAATAATAATAATAATAATAATAATAATAATAATAATAATAATAATAATAATAATAATAATAATAATAATAATAATAATAATAATAATAATAATAATAATAATAATAATAATAATAATAATAATAATAATAATAATAATAATAATAATAATAATAATAATAATAATAATAATAATAATAATAATAATAATAATAATAATAATAATAATAATAATAATAATAATAATAATAATAATATTAATAATAACGTTAACGATAAGTCGACGATCGATATTTCGTTCTCGAACAAACGACTTCCGGATCGAACGGAGCGGTCGTTCGTGCCAAATTATAAATACGTTGTCCGTTATTCGTGGGAGTTTACTTAGGCTTAAGCTCGTTGTTAAGCGACGGTGGATTTTAAAAGACGAGAAAACAACGCGCTTCTCTCGATCGGCCATGTTGGGTTTACGATCGACGGAACAATAGCGACGTATGAAAAGTACCGCGAAGAAAATAAGCTTGTCCAGCTCGCTTCCTGCAAATCCGATGTATAAAAGAAATTTGATTAAGAAGTAAGAGCGAAGGCACCGAAACATGTAATATGCGCGAACGCGCAAAGGTGGGAATTCGGTAACGGACGGAAACGACAGTCGATCGAGAAAAGTTTCGAAAGAACAACGCGTCGCATCATATCGTAATACCATATCGAAATCGACTCAGGTACAAACGTACAGAATCAATGGACACGAAGAAATTATCGAAAACTAACAACGAACTCGATCACGACTCGCGCTTCGATTCGAAAAGTCGACGAATAATTCCCGCCTTTGATCGATCGTTCATCGAACAAAACGAAGGATTCACATATCATATGGCTACGCGTTCCGCTACCTTAGAAGCGGACCGCGTTTCGAATGGCACAAAGAGCGTTCAAATATTTAGGAAGAAAAAGAGAAAGGCGAAAAAGTCCGATATCGAAAATGATTCTCGTCCGTTATTATCCAGGATCGAGTCCCGTTGATCGATTACGGAATCTGTACTCGCGAACAAAAACAGAGATCAACTGCGAATTATACAATCGAATTCACTTGTACGTTTCTTCTCTAAGACCAATTCACTTCCGCTCCATCGTCGTTCCCTCGCTTCCTCGATGATAATTTATTTTCTCTTTAGATATATTTTTTTCACTTCCGTCGAGATAGTTTATTTTCGCGAGAGTTTTCCGAGGCACGGTTTGAACGAGTAGCATCTAGACATCTATATTAGAATGTTCCGAAACGTTGTATCGATCGAACGAACGCGAAAGTAACCGAGAAGAAGGTGATCGGTCCGGCATAAGAATGTCTCGTCCGGTTGTCGTCCTTGTCCAGGAAGCAGGATAACTCGGCCGCATCCCCGTTGTAGCGAACGAGCGAAGCAAGTCTCCGAAGAAGGAGTGGCGAGGAGAACAAACATTAGGGAACCAATCGTCGAGAAAGGGTGGTTCAACGAATGTTTGTTCTAGGTGGTTCGCCGTGGGTGTGGGTGCGGTGGAGTCGCGTCCAGAAGAGGAACGCGTGCTGGCCCGGAACCGGAGCCAATCGCGCGGCACCGCAGCGAAAATCAAAATCTCGCGAGCGAGATTTTCTTTAGACGATGCTGATCGAGTCAGTCAGGGATGAACGATCCTACCGAAACTTTGCCCGCTTACCGCGATCGCGATATTCTATATTACGCGCTCTAAACGTACGAAATCGCGTCGAATCCTATGAAACCTCTTCCTTTTCTACGATAATCAGTTTCGTCCTACGAATTTTCTGTTTGTTTGGACCGGTTCACCGTACCGTATCGGTCTAATCGGCTAATCGGTCGGTTGATCGAAGATGAACAGCTACTTCGAGATCGAATAGATCAGCGAAGAATAATGTTGCGTGGAAAGAACAAGAAGAAGATCGGAAACGAAGAGGAGGAGGGTGAACCGAAACAGAGAAGGCCAAAGTGCGCTCGTTGCAGGAACCACGGTTTGATCTCTTGGCTGAGAGGTCACAAACGAGAGTGTCGTTATCGCGAGTGCCTCTGCCCAAAATGCTCTTTGATAGCGGAGAGACAGAGAGTGATGGCTGCCCAGGTAAGATCGTTAGGACGAGTCAGATTACGGAATCCGAAAGAGAAACTCAAACACCTGTGGAACGTTTCGGTGTGTTAACCGTTAACGAAGCGTTTCGTCCTCGCTTCGGGAGAATCGGGAAACTCGAAAGGAAAAGGTCAATCTCGTCACCTTCGATATTTAGCTCGATCAGTTAATTCGACCTTCGCCGCGTCGCGGACTCGAAAGAAAAAATCTGATATTATCGTCGGCCGATTAAGCGTAAGCCCGAAATAAATAACCGCGAGCCGAAGCGAAGCGGAAGGGTAAACCGATTCGGTTTTCGTTGCACTTGTACCACTCGAACGTACATCTCATCTTCCATGTTGGGAAAACAGTCGATCGTTCGAGGGAGAAGAGGAATTAAATCCATTAACGCGCGGTGTAGCGTTTCATTTCTGTTTACATAGACATTATGACACTCGATACGCGGCTCCGAGAGGGGACTTTTACATTGAATCGATGTAACGCTACCGGTGATCCGACGCGACGCGACGCGACGCGACGCGACGGAACAGCAACAGCCTCGATCTCGAAAGCTGAAAAGCTTCTCTTCGCGTAACTCCGCGTAACAGACAAATAATAACTTCTTCTTATCGTTACTTAATCAATTAGTAGATTAGAAATCTCTGTAATTTCTCGTTTAACGAAAAGTATCTCGTTAAGTCTAAAAGAGCTTCCTCGATTATCTCGACGGTACGAAACGATATTATAGTGGGTGGTCCAGTCGGGAATAACGGCTGCCAAATGGTTCCATATGTATCTGTATTGACGTTGCCCGTTAAGAAAACACATATGCAGTATCGGCTAAGCGGCAGGTCCATTTATAAATCCGGAACGTGGTCATGATCCGACTCGATTTTTTTTACGAGCTCTCTTCTTCCTCGCCAGTTAAATCCTCCTTTAGAATTGAAACTAAACGCGCGTTTAACAAGGTGGCCCTGAAGAGGCAGCAGGCAGCCGAGGACGCCATCGCCCTGAAAATGGCCAAAGTGGCCACCGGACAGAAGTTGAGTCGACTTCCACCGGGGAAAATATTTGGAATGTCGGTGACCGAGCCAAAGCCGGTGACCGATGCCGATAAAGAGCTCGATTCTGGACAAAAGGACGAGGAGGAACGTTCGAGACAGAATTTCGTTCGGACGAATCAACGTCGAGACTCTTCGGTAAATAAATTCCGATTGTAAACTTGCCGATTCCGTGTGAACGACGGTAACTTTTTTTTACAGACGATCGAGGAAAACGGCACCAAGTACAAGGGTCTCGCGTTCGAGGCGAACGGCGGCTCCGAGGAGACGAAAGAGAGCAACGTGTCCCAGGCATCCGTGGAGACGCTGGCGCGGCTGTTCCCGAACACGAAGCTTTCGGTGCTGCAGCTGGTTTTGCAAAGATGCGGACAAGATCTGTTGAAGGCGATCGAGTATTTCGCCAGCGACAGTTTTCCCGTGAAATCTTACGCTTCGGCCTTTCGACCGCCGCAACCCATCGACGAAACCAGCAAGAGCGAACCGCTCGCGACTACCATGCTGGCTCCTATTTATTCCGGCCTATCCAGAAACATCTACGGAGACGGCTACTGTCTGCTGAACATAGTCCCGGATCAGTTTCCAAAGAGTATCGTCGCGGACGCGACGGCCTGTACCCCTTTGCCCGTCAACAGCGCCGCGCACCACGAACAAGAAGTGGCTTTCAACGTGCAGTACAATAATTACTTCGATTCCGGAACGCAACAACACCTGAGGGATCACGTCTACGCGCAACTCACCGATCATCTTCCTTCGAGGCCTGGATTTCTTCATTTCCCTCCGATCATTCCCGGTATACCCTGCGTACAACCTAACTGCGCTCAATGCAACTACAAATTCCCTTAAATCGGCCTAACTAGGTAGTATGTTCAATTTTGCCGATCGTCTGATTCTTCGAGTACGTGCCAGTATACGATACGTTAGTAAATAATTACCCTTTGCTGTTTAATTGCCAACAGACGTTCGAGTCTCTTTATTTACAATTAGAAACGCTACGAGACTTATCGCGTGTAGAAGGAAAATTTTCACACGGATTTAACGAGCTTCGCGCGCCGTCATCGGTAGAGCCTTAATCTTCAAAGTTCACCGCAACGTGCTGGGCCAAGCGAAGCGTACTCGCTGCCATGCATCGCTTGCTCCAATGCCTCTTCGCTCTTCTACCGATTGACCTTTGATCGTCGAGCGTGAAATAAAACCAATAAAACCTGTTACACTTGCCCGTCGTGCTCCTCGAACTTTCCTGCATAGCCAAACTCCCTCTTCTCCGCCCTTACTCCTCTCTTTGTCCGAAAGATTTTCCAAACGAAAAACGGGCCACGATCGAACGATTTAATCGAAGGAATTACGTTATCGCGCGACAACTCTGCGCAGCGACCGAACGCGGAAAACTTATACAGGGTTGTGTCCAGTCGCGTAAATAGCCCGGTTATTTATACGTTATTTACAACGCGTAGCCCTGGGAAATTTCTACAAAGGGAGATATTTTGTTTATGTGTTCTTTCAGCGGTTGCCGATGGGAGGAGAGCAAGTTTTCTTCGAAAACTGCTCGGAAAGTTTCTCGAGGCGGCTATCGCCTACCCGTTAAACCGATAAAGCGGCACTGATCGAATTAACGAGATTCGATTGTCTCTGTAAATAGTGTTGGATATCAACTGTCGGTGCCTGGAAGCGGTTTACTTTGGCCCCCGTTTCCTCGATCCAGTCCACAGGGAATCTTCGATCCGTCCTACACCGAATTACAAACAGCTCGACATTTTTCTTTCGCTCGAACGCGAAAACGGTTCGACAAGGGAGTAAGGGATAAATGATCCGATTCGCGAATTACGCGTACAGCTCTTTATTTGGTTCTTTTAGTAAACGTTTCGGGAAACGCGTTCCCGCGAACGATAACATTCTTCCGTTCGTTTTCGGGCCGCATACCGTACCAAACCCGATATACCAATATCGCGCTCGCGTTTATCGAGTACTCGGTTTAAGGATAATTAACGATAGGCACATCGGTTTCGTGCTAAAATAACCGATAATATATCGTCGAAGATTCTGCTACGTAAACGTTCCTCGATAAATATTAATGTTACCATCGAAAATAACCAATCAATAACGTGCAAACTATATTCGATGTATGATACTGTGTTCTCGAGTGCAGTCTTCGTCGATCGCTCCTAACTTATTCGTAACTGGACTTTCTCCAAGCAGGACTCTTTTTTAGATATACACATATATGTACACGAACGTTCTTCTTTTCAATAGTATGTACAGTCGTTTTCGTTTCTAAGCGTTCCGTTCGAGATCCGATTTAAAATCGAAGGTGCGGCTTGTTTTTGATCATGTGCCTGGAAAAATAGAAACGATCGAATTATGCCGAATAACCCCGACTCGTACAAGGATACGTACTTGTCAAGATGTTCCCAGAATACCATTAACGCAGCTCGATCCAAGTGTCTCTTCGTTCGACTCAGTTCGATCACCGTGACGGCCCAACGTGCCACGTTCGCGTCCAGTCTCATTTCGTCGTATTTTAAATGAAACGCGCAAACTGCAACAATCAAACGAGTTAAGCAGGGTCAACCGTTAACGATCGATTCGAGATAACGGTAAGTTCTAAGTACTTTTCGAAAAGATCTCGACTGGATTGCCGTCGAAGGGCCAACCCTTGAACTGCCAAGCTGGACCCATTACGAACACCGCGACCACCCTTTCCCAGTCCGCGTTCGTCAGTTTCTGTGGGTTGTCGACTACTCTGTACGGAACCGTCAGTCCGCCTTCTTTTCGACGTTGCAAAAGGACCTCGTTCTCTCGTTTCGAGCCCTGTGATCGTTTCTCTTCGTTGCTCACGTATTTCAGGTCTTGGAGAATATCCTTCGCGTTATACATCGTGATCAACGACGTATTAGCGCTTGGAATGATGATGATAGGAGTCCTGCTAGGCCGTTTATTCTGCGCCGCTTGTTGCGGCGTCAGTTTCGCGGCAGAAGTCGGTAGTAAACCGGAATTAGGAGCCGTCGAAGGATTGCTAGGCGGTTTTCTTACCGCTGGATTCGTCCCTTCGGTCACGGATTTCAGAGTCATACCGTGATAAGTGCCCATCGTGTCGATTTTGAATCCTTCCGTTTCTTCTTTTTGCCTGATAAACCTCTCCTGATCGTAACGATTATAAACGGCCGGTTGCGGCAACGGTCGCATAGGCGTCGAACGCGGAGTAACCATCGGAGTGGGTGCGGCAGGACCTTTTTGTCTACCCTCTTCGCGAGCTTTGATACTTTGAAGTATCGCGAATATATTTTTTGCAAATATCTTTCCGCTGCTTTGCAGAATAGTAGCGCGTGTTCTCCACTGTCTTTCCCTCGAAACGATATCCTTGGTACCATCGACGTCCATCAATATAACGCATAAATCGGATCCCATTCCAATGTCGTCGTTCTCCTTGATCGTCGTACGTTTCTTGGCTAAACGTTTAGCTTTGATGGCAGCAATTTTCTCGACGGACATTGCCTCCGAAAGAGACTTGATGTTGTCCACCGTAACCGAGGCTTCCTTAGGAGCGTCCAGCCTAGCCGCCAGTTGTTCTTTAACTTTCTGAACATGAGTCTCCTCGAAACGAGGTTTTTTCGACGATCCGCTTTCCACTCCATCTTCCGCTGTTCTTTTCACTTGAGTGGGAATTTCTAAAGGAGCAGATTTGTCTATGGCGGCTGACGTAGCGGTCTCTCCGTTGAGATACGCCAGTAAGTCTTTTCTGTCTGGTCGACGTACAACTGGAATATTTTCAGCAGCTGCCTGCCGTACGTATACTGGATGGGTGAGTTGCACATGTTTAAGCAGAAACAGCAGACATTCCAGAGTGTAATATTCCTTCGGTGTTCCTTCCTTGCCGGATCTACCACCAAATATATTTCTCCCCAGTTATTTTTCCCCAAAACCGACTTTCTTATTTTTCTCCTACGAGATCTCTGCGCTTTACAGTCACAATATTTATTAGACGAATCGACCCAATGCCAAGAATTTCCCTTACTAAATGAACTAGTACTACAAATGGAAAAAATACTTGTTCTTTAGTAACGTATAAAATTCAAACTTTCTAAAACCGATTAGTCAAAGTATTCGCGATTCTTTCATAAATTCTACATCGTGTTACGATAGTAAAGGTACAGAGAATTCGTGTATACGAGCGTTCAATGGGGGAAGGCAGTACAGGTTACAGCTGTCGGAATTGACTCGCGATCAATCGTACATACACTTACCCATAAGTTAAATAGTTGGTTTTCACATTTTTCGGCCAAGAAAATTCCCCGAAAATAATTTGATTTTCACGTTCGATTATCTCCTTTTTATTAACGTTATACTGTCGCAGCAAGCTCAATGGGTCCGCCATGATTACAAACTACTACCCCACCTTTGGCTATTGTGATTAACTAAAAAATAAATTGCCATATACACGGTATATCGCGTGCACAGCGCGCCACTACGCACCGTTTCGTGCACGTCAATTTTCAAGCATGTTTCCACATTCTGATGCTTGTCAAATTATTAAACTTATCTATCCGTTAATACCTTTATCGAAAGAACTTATAAAAACATCACGAGTTCCACGTTTAACGTTCAGAAATAATTCCTCGTTTTTTCTACTCGATCATTTTTCTGACACTTCCTTTGCAATGTATACCATACCAGTTCAACCGCAGACGAAATGTAAGACAGATTACTCGTATCGTTGTTGATTTTAGTAAGTCTAGTACATATAGTACAGATGGCGTGAACTGCTACTTTCGGATCACTCGTAATTCGATCACGTTCACTTCCACTGATGGTGATTTTCACGCTGATTCGTGGGGATTAGGAATGTGGAAGTTTGGTAATTCATTTGGATGTTCGCCAAATCTGGTTCTTTCTTATATTCCTAAACTTTTCTCCACTTTGTACATGGCTGACGAAGTGAAAAGTGTATATAGTAATAAGGCAACCATAGACGTAAGATTAAATGGTGGGAAACCTACTGAAATTAGCCGCGTTACGATCTCTTCTTGAACCCAGTGTACGTTTATTTACATGACACTTTGAACTGCTTTGAACAGGGGTATAGAATCAGCTGTTGTGTCAAACAGTTTCCGAAATTTCATTAGCTACACCAATTCAATCTACATTCTGTCGATTTTCTTACCATTTATTTATCGTAATTATCAATGCTAATTGCTAAAAAACGATGAGCTTCCCGGAGAAACAGGACAATATATCGAAGGATGAGTGGGTTGCCAAGCTGGAGGAGAACTCCCATACACAACGCGTTTCCATGAACAATTTGATCATGAATTATCTCGTTACAGGTTAGTCCTTATGCCCATTATTAATAAACAATTTTGAAATAATTTCTTAATCGCGGATAAATTGTCATTCAGAGGGATTCAAGGAAGCTGCAGAGAAATTTCAACAGGAATCTGGGGTCGAGCCTACAGTAGATCTGAGTTCTTTAGATGATAGAATTCGTATTAGAGAAGCTATTCAGAATGGGCGTATTCAAGAGGCGACCAATCTCGTGAACCAGCTACATCCAGAATTGTTGGATAACGACAGATACCTTTATTTTCATTTACAACAATTGCATCTTATCGAATTGATTCGCACAGGGAAGATAGAGGAGGCTTTACAGTTTGCTCAAGATCGATTGAGCGAAGCTGGAGAGTCGGATGACAATATTTTGTGCGAATTGGAACGTACTTTAGCTCTACTTGCTTTTGACGAACCGCATAAAAGTCCTTACAGCGATCTATTGCATCCGACACATAGACAAAAGGTAATAACTTTGATTAATTATCCGTGTATTACAAACATTTTGATTTTTCTATAAAATTACAGATAGCTAGCGAATTGAACGCGGCTATACTAAAGATGGAACATAAGGAGTCGACTAGTCCGCGTTTAAATAACCTGCTCAAAATGATACTCTGGGCACAAGACGAATTGGAGAAGAAGAAAGTGAAATATCCTAAAATGACTGATTTGGGTAGTGCCACCATCGAAAGCCCAAAATAATTTTAACAGGACAAAGTGTGGAACCACATAAATTTATTTATTAGGACGAAGAGAAAGGTGTAATTGTACGATATTAGTGTTTAATATGTGAACAGGTTTCAAGATTAGAATAGAAATTTGAACTTTTTAATATATTCTCATTCGAATAGTAATACTTATTTTCTACAAGAAACACGTTAAATTTCGGTCATAAACTGTAATTACGATAGAAAGAGAGAGAGAGAGAGAGAGAGAGAGAGTGAGAGAGAGAGAGAGAGAGAGGAATAAGTCGATTACGACAAACCAATGTTTTTAATATCGCGAACAAAATCTCCGTCATACATTTGTTCATATACGCAACATTTGAAAGACGACCGAAAGTACAAGTTCGTCGCATGCTCGTAAACGTTCGCTAATATTTTTTCGGTAATACGTGTACGCTAAAAAATGGACCATTTAAATTAATATCCGTGCAATATACGTGGTCGAATGCCGCGAAAATACTCTTGCAGGCTAAATCATAAGTTAATCGTGTACTTTACAATAGAGAAATTTAGTACGTTGCGAGTAATTGTTGGTTGAAAGTTACAGAATAATAAGAAAGATATATAACAGTAGGAAGGTAAACGTTGCGTGATAATATTATTTGATGTTTCTAAAAATTTATATTTCGTACTATTGATATAGTAAAATATAATTGAGCAAAGTAAGAAACGTTTCGAGATTTTCAAATGTTCCTCTCTCCGGTTAGTCGTGCTTATACATACATGTATCGAATTTTGATAAAAATGCGTAGTAAAGGCAAAGAAAAATTACGCGCTAAACGATATTTGTCATTAATAAGTAACATCCATAATTAAGACTACCATCCGAACATATATTCCATCGCTTTCGAAACTAAACCCGTAGATTTTTGTGGTACATTTTCTGGCACTCTCACCGACTGAGGACTAAGTTGATTATAACCGGCTGCTAAAGGTCTTACATTTTGTATCCTAATCGGTGTACGAGGTGTACTATATTCCGGTGACTGGTTAATTCGACTCAGATTAGAAAAACACTTGATACTTCCGTTCATTCTCGAGCGATTTTCTTTATCCGAACCTAGTATAACGCCCTCGTCCGTACAAGGAATTACGCCGATCATGACAGATCCGGATACAATATTACCATTGCACGCGAGCGCTCTTTGCGCTTCCTGTTCCGAAGCGCATTTTAAATGAATCCAATTACTTTGTGGCTGCGGAGGCGGATGTTTGTCCAGTATTCGAACTCTGCTGGAAATATGAGCCAAAACCGTGTTCGTATCGCTGGGAGGGAAACCAAAAACGGTCACCCACTGCAAAAGCCCTTGAGACTCGTTTTTATTCGGATTTAAAGAACTGTCGTTGAATATAGAAGCGTTCATGGTATTGATTAAATTTCTAGGTTGACTGCAAGAGATACTTTGATCGGCCGGCGAAGAGTAGGATAATTTTTGAGAGGTTTCTAAAGTATCGAACAATCCTCTGGTAGGTGGTCCACCGGTGTGACTTTCCGCGACCATCTGAGAAGTATTAGGGGTATTAGCACCACCGAATACAGCTTTTTGACGGCTAGTGCGATAGTCTGGAGTACCGTAATGAGAAAGCGGAGACAATAAGCTGGTGTGTCCGCTATAGAATTGTTTCTGAGTATCTTGAGGACTGGCTAGGTTCACTTTAGCTGGCTAAAAAAATGATAAAACACGATAAACTGGAATATATCACGCGACAACGTTACGTTCCAAAGATTACGTACGGTTGTACTGTCTAGGAGAAAATTCGGAAGGCACACAGAAGCCATCGGGCTTCCAGGACTTTGTTTAGGGCTTCCAACAGGTGATCCTAACGTCATAGGTTCCATCTAAAGAGCAAAAACAGTCGGTCGGTTCGTTTATTAAAATTTCAGCTATTTCGAACAGAATTATTTTGGGACAGAAGAAAAGCACGCTTATTATTAAATATTTTTAAGCATACATATACATATTAAATATTATAGGTTTTATAATTTTCATTCGAAATTCGCGAGGTTATAAACATTAAATCGTTCGATAGACATACTTGGATGATAAATTTCTATTTTTGCGGTACTTACTGCTGTTCGTTAATAAAAATTCGACGAAAAATTGTCGACGAATCTTGTAAACAGTTAAATATATTCACAGAAGTTGGGAGAGATATTTAAATAACGAATAATATTTCGCTTTATCCCAGAGACTAACAGATGGCTCTAGAACCAGATCGATGTCCACGTATATTTTGAAATTTGAAATACGCAATTTTCGTAACTTAAAAATACAACGATTTCAAATATTCGAACAAAGAAATTGATTATTTATCTAATAAAAACTAAAAGTTTTGACGCGACAAGTTTCAAGCACGAAACACGTATCTACATACGGTAAGCGCGAACTACTCTATGTTACTGTACTCGGAAAAAGAATAAGTTATTTTATAGGAGAGCGGGAATGTTGGAAATTTCATTTTTTTTTCGTTAAGAAAATTGAATTACATTAAGAAATATTTTTGATAGATTTATAAGAAAATTATTTTTACTCGGTATAATTAGTTCGTAACGGGGGAAAAAGATTCAAGTGGTGCGATGCTAGCGCCGCCATTTTAATTTTGAAAACTGCGTAGCGAGAAGCCGTGGCAGTTGGCGGTCGTTTAGTAAATAAATTCTGTCGGAAACATTAAAATTGTGGCAATTTGTGGGTGATTCGATCGAAAGGAAGGATCAAACGACGTAGTTTGGGAGCGTAGCGTTCAAGTGGAAGGCGTTCGACAAAGAATCATGCTGCGGTGCTCGGCGAGTACTCGGTGAGTAATCGAAATAACGGAAAGAAAGGAAAATAAGAGAGACAGAAAGTATTATAATAGTGAATTTTAATAACGATGAAAATTATGTACATATTTACATTTTCGTAAACGCTTAGGTGATACGACACGCAAGTATCTTGATCTCGATACGCTACCATGTAAGAAACATTCGTTCCGTTAGCTTAAGTGTAGCAGACATTACGATGTCGCGAGTGCAATTCTGCTTTGGTTTTCCTTTCATTCGTGGATAATTGCATCGATACTCGCAACGAACAGGTTACGCTTCGAATTTTCACGCGTTTTCACGACGAAAGTATCGATATAATGTATAACAGCACAAGTAAACGAGCAATTAATAGAATTCGAGCAATAAATAACAGCATCGTCAACAATGGTTAACCAACAACCTTTCTTGTGAAATTGCTTTTTACCGGAAGACAACTTATTCGTTACGTACGAACGAAATACAGATAGATACGTATAGGTGATAGAGGATTATTCGAGGAGTGTTCGGTAAGTCGGTAAGGAGAAAGGTAAAAGATGATCGATGCGCGTTAGAATTTGGTTGGCCAGCAATTTCGCAAGGAAGACGATAGAAGAGCGATAGAAGCGATTAAAGGAAGGTAAAGGAGGAAAAGGCGCGAAATTCATTGAAAACGACTGACATTCCAACGAGCGAGTCTAGTTAGCGTATCGCGCGGGAAAATTCGTAGATGTTGGATATGGTTTAGTTTAGTAACGAATAGAAAGAACCTTCGAGAATCCATAAAATTATCGGTAAAATTTCGTAGGAAAGTTCGTAGGAAAGAAGAGAGAGTTCTCGCGGTGTCGGGAAAGAAACGTTTTTCCAGCAACCTGGTTTTTCGTTATTAAGTGTAAAAAATGATATGCATCGAAAATAGAAGTACCGTTATAAAATCGTAGTAAAAATAATATGTATCGATGGAAAGGAACGCGAAGTTTGTCGTTTTCTTGTTCGCTTTGTTTTAGTCGCACTAAAAAGAGATCTGGACGAGCGAACGCGCACAGACGCGTGCATAGAAAGTAGGTACGCGCATGCATGTAGACGTACGGAGAGACAGACGGATCGATGCTTCCTTCGGTTTCGGTTCCTTTCGGTTCCGTAATATTTTCTCTCTGTTTGTTCCATGGATATGTGTATTAAACGAGATTTTCCGTTCGCGTAACAATACATTTAGAGCCTAGAACATAGTTTGATTCGCTGTCGGTGACGGATCCAGGACGAATCTATCGAGGAAAAGTTAGTTTTCTCGGTTCGGGAAACGTTACCGAATAAGGGTAACAGATTCGCGATGGGTCCGACACGGACGGCGGTTGGCGCGGCCCAAAGACCATTCGGCCTTATCGTCTTTATCGATACGATATTTAATTACGATTACGCGACTTAAAAGTTAGTATTAGATACGACGGGAACGTTCTCCTAACGTACTCTTCGATCGTTTTACACTGTTAAGGAAGCAAGGTGAAAAAAGAGTGTAATTATTATCGCGTCAGGACGAATGCCGTGATCGAGAGGACCATCATCCAGCCGAATATCGTTGCGGTTTGGCTTCCTGAAAAGCAACGTCGACTCGATTAGCGAATCGTTCTTTATACGCGCGTACGTATGTATGTACGTAGAGAGAAGGTAATTTAGCGAAGGGTCCGATCGAGAGATATCGAAGAAAGAGACTTTACCGTTGGTTAAATCGTTGCGAGTGTGGCTTTGTGCCCTGGTCTCGCGGCTCTCCATTACAGGGGCTTTCACGATTCTCTCGTCGCCCTCGACGCTCTCCTCGTTGCTCTGCAGGTAGACGCTCGCTATCGTCGCCAAGCACTTTAGCTTCATGTCGCCGAGCTTGAAGTGTTTGTTGGTCACGCTGAACTCCAAGCCCAGTACCGCCGTCTCCAGGCCCTTCTCGTCCACGCTGGTAATGTGCGGTCCCTTCAGGTACTGGGCATCGGCCTGAATCGTTTCGAACACTCGAATCGTTTTACCGAAACTTACTCGAGCAAACAGCTTACCGGTTCGCCGTTGATGAACCAAGTCAAGAGAGCAGCCGGTTTCGAGGGCGCGGACGTGCAGTTCATGCGAACGAGCTCCCCTTCCTTATAGCGAGAACGACCGCCGGTTATTCGCGGGCCTTCGTCGGGAAGAACTGCCGAAAGAAAGAGAAACAGAAAGAGAGAGAGGAGAATCGCGTGAAGAATCGACGTCGGCTCGAATCGAACCGGTAAATTCGGAATCTCACCTACTACCGTCATGTCCGCGTGATCGGACACGGTTTGAAAGGCAGGAGCTTCCGCGGACACCTCGCATCGGTACCTGCCCGAACTGCTCAGATTCACGTTGTTCAGGACGACCGCGCTCTCCGTGGAATCGCGCGTCTGTCGTCAGACCGATCGAGTTAGTAGACGAATCATCGGATCGCTCGACGGATACTCACGTTCACGTTTACGCCGGTCACGCGAAACGTTTGAACGGTGGGCTCGTCCCTGGGCACGTAACGATAAAACTCGTGGCCGTCCTTGTACCATTTCACCGAGTACAACGTCTCCTTGTCCAGGTTGAAGTTGCACCGCATCAGGACCGTTTCGTTCAGAACAACGTGTTGAGGTATCTGCAGGGCCGTCATGCGAAGGGCCACGATTCCTGAAACGCATACATCGCCGTATCAGAAGCCGAAAATACTGGCGCGCTCCTAGCGAACGCGCTCGATTTAATTAAAGCCAATCGGACGAAGCTGTCCAGAGGGGAGGTTAATCAACGGCCAGATATATACTCGGTTTATTTACCGACAGTATTATCGGCTCCTGTGTGCCCGTCGTTACGCGCTTATGCCTCCAATTAAATGGCACACGGTTAACGCCGTTAATTTCCGCCTCTCGGCCGGCCGAATCCTATTTTTTCCCTGGAATCTCGAATTATCGAATTTTCCGTCGCGCTCGGTGTCGGCGACTTTCACAGGCTCCTTAACGCGCACCGTGCATCGACCGACGACAACAGATACTCGGAGTTCTTCGAGTCCGCGCCTGTTCGCCGTCTCGCCAGAAATTAAGAGAAATTAAGCGGGACGTCGCGTCGGAAGGAGAATTGATCTACTTGAAAGCGTGTTTGCGCGCCGCTCGGAAGAACCTCGAAGAACGCTTTGGCCGAAACTGTCGGGGAAACGGGGAATCGATATCGAGTATCGTTTTAAGAAGCGAGAGAGAAAGAGGGGAACCGTGAAGCGGCAAGTTTCATCGGAAATCGAGCCAATTCGATAGTTAACGACCTATCGTAACGCGGTTTCGCGAGACCGACGACAGTTACGTGTTTGTGGGCCGTCTTTGAACGAATCGCTTTACGCGCCCGTATAACTGTTCGTTTCTTCGTCGAGAACGCTCCTCGAAGCGGTTAACCGAGCCGCCCCTAACCGCCCCGAGTCGTACCGGGCCGTCAGGAAAAAATTCCTCCTCGCGGTTTCTCCTTGCCGAATGTTCGATCGATCGTATACGATATATATATCTCTCTCTCGAGAGAGAGAGAGAGAAAATAACGTCGTGTTCGCGAACGTCCAAATTCGAAATTTTCTTAGTTCGCGTCCTTTTGGACATTCTAGACGTGTTAGAAATCGAAGATGTATAGAAAATGTTGAGTCAGGTCGAGTCCAAGTTAAGACCGTCGATATCGTCGTAGAAGTAAAAGGCTTCGTTGTAAAGGCTCGGACGGCTTAACCTGTTCTTAATCTAATCGAGTCGAATCGTATCGAAGGAAACGCTCGAGTATTACGGTTTGTGCGCGAAGGTTCAAGGTTAGTTTAGGCCGAGACGGAACGTAGACCCGACACGAGTCGAGTCTTTCGTACGATGTCACGGGCGACATCGGAATACCGGAAACAATCGGAAATCGTATCGCGTACTTTTCCAAGAAACTTTTATACGGAGCTGGAATCTATCCACTTTCCCGCTTATCCTCGAGGATTTACGCGTCCTGGCAATCCTCTTCCTATTCCGCGTAAAAGCTTATCCTACCTAAACGTCTGTTACTTACCGCGTCACCGCCATTCTTTCGCGAATAATCACCGTATCAGAGTCTCGATGCGGTACCGTCGCTGATCGGACTTGTCGCGTTTCCACTAGGACGAACCCGTACGCGGCACTGTACCTTCGAAAGCACGCGAATCATACGGAACTTTCCTTCCCGCGTCGCGTTCGAACAACTCGGATCTCGATCGAATGCACGAGGACCGATAACGATTCTCGAAAGAGCTAGCCGAAATAGCCGGATACGTATCTCGATTCGGGAATCTAGAGAATCGATAAGGACACTCGGAGTCCTGAGTCGGGTGCACACTCGTCCATTCGCGAAGTCGTAATCGCACTCCCAGGGCAACGTACGGCAACGTACGGCAACGTTCGGTAACGAATGTCCAGGCATACCTGAATGAAGCATGAACGCGTAGATCGCGATCAGCCTGGACAGCAGTGTCCCGTGGTTCGTCTTAAACCGCATCCTCGGCTATGGTGCAGCCCTCGCAGAGCATGGGAAACTCCTCCCTCGTCAGTGAGTTGCCATGTCGCGGCTTATAGCAGCGGGAAGCTCCACGGAGGAGGAGAAATCGATCTCTTTATCCCCGTGTCCAGTTCGCGAGGGTCGTCGGTTTCCTCGGACAGAGGAGGAGCACCGCGATGACAGAAAGGACGCGGGACACCCGGGCTAGCGACCTTCGAGCAGGGTCAGCAGGTGTCGTCGTCGGACCGGCACATTATTTTCCACGTTCCGCGCGCGGACTAATTGAAAATCTATACTATGGCGGAGGAGAGAGCAGTAGTAGGTAGTCGGTACTGCGGCATCGGCACATACCAGCGGGAAACAAGAGGTGGTGACGCGTTGCTGGTGGCGTACTCTTTTTTACTCTGTTTCCGTGAAAAGCAACACAAAACCGCTGTTTTAATATTTCAATTGGGAGGAAAAGTTCGTTCGTTACTCTGCCGTCGCTGACAGACGATACTTTCGGTTCTCTCGAACGCGAAGGATATCTCGGCGACGGAATGGCATCGAACGAGTTGAAAAAAGAGCGTAGAAAGAAAGAAAAGAGAAAGAGTGATAGAAAGAATACTACTCGAAGAATGTCGGAATCGGAAAATTTTCGAGAACGAAAGGAAAGAAACAAAGAGAAGAGAAAACACAGAATACAGTTTCAGATACACATAATAGTTAATATATCGTTAAAAGAATAAACCGTATATATGCGCAAGACAAAAAAACGGAAACGAAAGGTCTCGGTCGTTTTGAGTCGCGAGACACGGGTCCGTCCACAAGTTTTGCCTCTTTTAACCCGGTAGCGAGCGCTCGCAAGCGAAATCTCGGGACTCAAACGGACGAGAGAATTACCTGGATAAATGCAAAGTAGAACACACGCACACAGAAGTAGACGAACGGGAACAGAGGAAAGGAGAGCATGAAGAGAGCGGCGAATGACAGAGATAAAGAAGAGCAAAGAAAAGGAGCTGACGGCTTTTCGACCGAGTCAACCGTGAGGAAGAATAGCGAGCTTTGTTAATCGTTCTTTCAACAAAACGATACTTATCTTTCTTCAATTTTCTTTTACTTTTCCCTTGCAATTCGAAGCGACCCACGAGTGCCGGAGATCTCGTCGACCTCTGCACTCCAGTTGTTCCTCGTGATCCAGGTGAACGAACGGGACGGAGACGAGAAAAGAGAAAATTTTCAAAGGAATTAATGGAAGGTCGAAACTGTTCGAGACTGCAAGGAAATTCGTACTTTCGCAACAAATTCTCACGACTGAGCAAATATAAACGAGACTTTCTAACTTTCATGGAATGCACCAACATCTAATTTACGATAGACTCTCGTTCCGAGTCTCGTTATAGTTTCGCTCCGTCTATTATGTAACCCGATAATCAGTTTTAGAAGATACGCGACAGGATTTCGCGACACGAAGGTATCGCAAATTGATGCCTTTAAATACTAGAAATAGCAAGGCGTCCTTTATCGACTTTACGCCGAAGTTGCCTCATCCCTAATAACGTGCATCGAAAGTACCCTCGATGAAGTTATATTTCAATAGTCTCGTTTATACTTGATTAAGTCACATAATCAGGGATTGAGCTTCCGACGTAACTCTCTCATGCTCATCCACCGGGAAGTGAAAGAAAAAAAAATACAACGAAACAAACCAATTTGCTCCTTTTCTCGTTCAGCTAGAAAGAGAAGCGTGCGCATTCGTCCGCATAGGAAAATGTGCATGAAGTACCCGTAGAGAAAGAAATCGTGACGACAGGGGGTGAGCCATCTGTCTAGGTGGTGGTATGTAGTTTCTCGGAGTATTTACCGGAATATTTATCGCGACAATGTTTATACGTGACACTGCTCCAAAGTCACTGTGTCGAGTATTCTCAGGTAAATACTCTTTGTCAAACACCGTGCACACAAAGAGTAAAACGAGAGTGGTTTAATCGGACGTATGGTGGTGGTGGTGGTGGTGGTGGTGGTGGTGGCGGCGGCGGCAATGCTCGTGGGAGGGAGGTTGGGTGGAGGAGCAGCCGGGGCCGGGAATACGGCCAGCCGAGGAAGACGGGACACGGACAACAGCCACCGAACCGACTAGACGGACGAAGAGAGCACCATTTCGAGACCGTTCCTGGGCGACTGCGCCGTTCTCCGAGTCGATGATCGCTGCAAAATTCTCCGTCTCGCTTCGTGTCGCTGCGCGGTGAAGCTCTTTCGCCGCGTTGCGTACGCGCGCTCTACGTTCCTCCGTGTCGGCGACGCCTGTACGTGTGCGCGAGCGCGACCGCTTCTCTACGTGCACGTGCACGCGTGTGTGCAGGCGCTAACAAAATTCGGGGGAAATACGCTCCCGGCGACTCTTCCGTCAGGAATTATGCGGATTTTTCGGTGGCCGCTTCGTCCTTTTCCTTCCTGCCTGCTACTACCACCCTGTCCCGTCGATGCTCTCTTTCCATCCTCCTTCCAAACCCCTTACATAGACTCGTTGCAAGATGGACAGCGAAATCGTTCCAGGCGAATTAATTAATACCGCTGCTCGGCTAACCTGTTCGGTAATCCGAAAGTTACGAGTCGATAACGAGCCGATTCCAATAATTATTTAACTAGACCACTCGGAAAGTTGGCTACCGCGTTTCTAGCGAGGGAAGGGCCGAGGGAAGGGCCTTTATCAATAATATAGCTCCTTTAATTGACCGAGCACATGGTGGCCTACCTGATCCCAAGGTTCATTAAGCCGCGGTGCTAAAAGAAGGATGACTTTGCAGGACTCGTCGTTCGTTTTACGTTTAACGACCTCGAGTTTACTTTTCTTTTACTACCAGGAATGTCTCGTAGATATCGAGGCTCGTTTACGAATTAGACCACGTCGACGTGTCGCGATCGCTGATTAATCGTTCCGTATCGATTTAAGCAAAACGCTAAAGCAACTCGTTGTCGGAGCATCGTGTACTAACTTTCCCGTTATCGTCCCGTTTATCTGCCGTTTTTCTCGCGTATCCCGGCCAAGCGTGTCGGAAGAAGGTCAAGTGTGCCGGGTCAGGGAGTAATCGAGGCGGCTACATAATTTTCCGAGCAACCCCTGCTTAAATATCTCCGAGGTCTTACGTGTTCGCCACTTTCTAACGTTTATCGGTTATCGCTAAAATACCGTGTCTAAGATCGATTGACTAATCGGGACGAAATCCGGTCGAACGCGACGAAAGAAAGTCGAAGGCGTCTCGATAGAGGCAGGGAACATAATCGTCGACTTATTGTCAGAATCGAATTAGATCGGACAAGTTGCCTCGATCCCGAGAGCCGAGTCGGACGTCGAAAGACGTAAAATTGCTCCGAAAGAGAGAGGAGTAATTTCGTTTGCGAGCGGTCGAAACTCGCGACGCAGCCTCGAAAGTTGATTCGCTTCGCGGGAACCGCCGATCGCAGCTTTCACGGCTTTATTTCGATAATCTTCTCGCGCGAGAGCGTTGCCAACGGGAGAACGTTCCTTCGGGAATCTACCCTTCGATCGCGGTAATTAAGCCGGTAAGCGGCTAATTAAAATTAAAGTCGATTACCGGTGTCGATTTTTTCCTCGAGAAGAAAAAACAAACGTTTCGTCGGACCGAAGAACGGGAAGTTAACCTAATCTTCTTAACGGGTATTTAGACTATATTTCCTATTGAAATTCCTAGCCAACTTAACTGTAACTCGACTCGATTTCGGTTTGCTCGCTTACGAGTCCATCCGCGTGTCTCTACGATCTATGCTCCGTTTACCGTCTTCTTCGATCTAGATCTTTATCGAAATGTCCCTGCAGGCGTTATCAAAATTATCCTCGCAAGATGCTCCTCCGTCCACCGGGTGGATATTACGCGTTAAGGGCCGTTATCGGGTAGATCGACCGTTCGCAGGGTACACCCTCGCGCGATAAACGTTTCTTCCCAGAAACCCAGTCCGAGAATCTCGGGGACAATACTCGTACGTATACTGGAGGAGAGGGGGCAGATTAGCTGTTAGATAGTTAATCGTTCGAAATCGTATGCAGGCTATTGTAGCGAGCATGACTCAACAGTTAGCCAAAAAGTGTCCAGGTGGTAAGTTTCGAGCGAACGAGGACACTTGGCGCTTTGGGGCGCCACTTTCGAATATTCGCACCGAGCCGAGAGCGCGTGCTTTGGCGAGAAGAGAGGGGTTGGCCACGACTAACGACCCTCGTCCTGTAATTGGGGTACCAGTTGCACGCGTCAGGATGAATTTCATCCCCCGAAGCCGTGCCACTCGGCTCCGAGTCCCCTCTTTTGTAGAGGCACAGTATTCGGCTCGAGTCGCGGCTCCGTACGTGGCCCGACTCTATACCGTGCTTTTACATCCTCGAACGTGCCTTTCGCCTTTTCCCTTTTGCGCTTCTCCTACCCTCGACAAACTGCTTCCTTATTTATCGAACTCACCATGACACGGTGACTCGGTACCTTTTCTCTCGGACCCACTTCCACCTTCCGCCGTTTTCCTTTCAAATTTTATGCCCTTTTCGTCAAAATATTAGCCGACTTTCGACCGATTACGAGAAGCGAATTAATAGAGGAAGAACGAAAGCGCGAAAGTTCCAGGCACCGACGAACGGATCGATAGACCGTCGTAACGTTTGTACGCTTAAACGAGCCAGATGCCGACAAACCGTGATCGTTCGGGTTGAAATTTTCTTCGTCGAAACGCGAAAGCGCGACGAACGAGAAGGTGGAAGTAACGAAATATTCCACTTGGATTCGGCGATCGAGTCGACGAATTAGGAGATCGACCGTTTCGACCTTTTAGCTAAATTTTCGAGCGTAAAACGCTCGAAAGAAGCGTGAAGAATCGAAAGTACGTACTCTCTGGTGTGACGGGCAGACCCGTGTAAACGCGACGCAACACGCATGCGCTTATTTATTAGCGGGACCGAAAATCGATATTCGACCTCTCGCTCTCGCACGGCCCGCTTAATATTTCTTTCGACTCGCTGGTTTTTCTGCGAAAACGCCGAGTTCCTTTCCCCGCGCCTCTCCTTTACCGGAAGATCCGTTTTCGCGAGAAACGCGCTCGTTTCGATCCGCGTCGAATCGAATCGGCCCACTTAAATCCTTCTCGGAGGGATTTAGACGTATAACCGCGAAAATGCCCTTTCCGTGAGCGCGCGGATCGAGGGCAACAGAGCGGGGAACAATGGATCCCGATTCCCGATTCGGTATTTCGACGATTACGCGCAACGATGTGACGCGCGTGTCGTTTAATTGATCTATTTACGGCCATCCTTTATCCTTCGAAACAAAGGTTCGCGAACGAACACCGAACCAACGTTTTTCCCCTACCCTCTTTTCTCGTATCCCTCTTCGAAATAGTCGGCAC